AGCGGGACCCGGCCGAGCCTCCGCCGCTTGCCAAAGCAGGCTTGGCCGGCACTAAGAAAGTGAAAGGCCGTTGGAGTAAAACAGCTTGCAGAGAGAAGAAGGGGGGTGAATAGGAAAAAAATATTTTAATAATTTCTGACTGATATAATAGCAAAGGACGGAACATACTTGAGTGCCTTTGCTCTGATGGAAGCAGATGATCCTTTTGATTCGGTAACACCGACATCATGATGGGAGGCTTGCCTTACACCAGTGTATTTTCTTCATATGACCACTGCCTTATTACATAATTAAAGTCACATTTAGTCATTGGTCTTATATTGTTTTGCTGGTGGCTTTTCAGAAGTTCATTGAGTTGTGATGGTGAGGACGATCTTTGTCTATCTTATTCTTTTAGCCATATCTACTTATCTTTTTCAACTAGAGTAACAAATCAGCAGTCACATAAATGATTTCTAGACTAGAAATATTATACTAGAGGTGTTGGGATTTTTTAACTAACTCCAAGTCTATATAATGACATCTTTCAGAGACTGAAAATCACTACTGTTGTCTCTACGAACCCTTCTTTTATCAGCTACATGTGCAATAGTAGTCTCTATTGGCTCTGTAAAAAAGAGCTAATGAAGAAGAGAAATGCTATAGAAATAAACTTTGGTCTAGGAACAGGGTTCAGGCTTGGTCTTCTAAAGAACAGCTGTTCCTAGAACAGTTAACAAAGTCTGTGAATATAATGCACACAATGATGTTAAAAACGTGCATCTAAATTAGCTTCTAATTTGTAACACAAAATGTACTGTACAGTTGCTTCTTTATTTTTTTTCACTTCATGCCTTAATGTTATCTTTTTTCCCTTCTATCTTCTCCCCACTCTCTTCATTTTTGTAATCACAGTCTGGGCTAAATTAGCAATATTGTTTAAAAAAGTTATTCACATGAGAACACTGTAGAGAGGTTTACTTGTGTGAGTTTCTTGATTAACTTTCATTCTATTTCCTATTTCAACTAAGTTGGAGTGCTCTTCTCTTGAGATCTGACATTTTAATTAATATAGTCTGCATCTATTATATATTAATATCTCCTAATACAATATTAATTATACATTAATATGCTCTTTCTTTCACTTCTGAGTCAAGAACAAACTGTCTCACATAGAAGGCAATAAATGGCCAGATAGAGACCCAAAGAGTGTTTTGACATAATGATATGCTAATGATATACTGCAATTGTTATTTAGCCTGTAGCAACAAACAGCTTAGAGACTGATGGTTTTCATGACTGCATTTTGTTTATGATACCATAAGGTCCAGTGAGGAAGGGCTGTTTCCTCCTCAGTATTCCCAAGCAAGCAGACTGGTTGATGCTGGAACTTTATTCAGAGCTATCTTCAGTGTGGCAGCCTTGTGGGGAACTAGCAGGGCACATAATGAGAATGAAAAAGCAATTCAAATGTTTGAAATGAAAACTATGTTGTGAAGTTACTTTCCTTGAAAATAAGGAATCTACTTATTCACTGTGGTCAAAAATTATAGAATTCAAATGAGTTTGATGGACAGTGGTCATTAACTACTGAATTCCTTTTTGGTTTTTTTTAATTTCAAAATTAATTACCGAATATTTGGCATATAATGATAACAAAAAACTAAATAAGAACGTAATTTGTATTAATTGAGAAAGCAATGTTTGACTTTACAATGACCACACTACTCCAGCTCTGAGTTGCAGCAAGGATCCCATATGTTCTTCTTGGATCAGAATGATGAGCTATGGAATATGATTTTCTACATACAACGAAGTGATATTGAGAAACTCATCATAATTTATGCTGTTAAAGTCAGTGCTCAAAAGCTGTTCAGTCTCCACCCACTACACCTTTTAAAAAGAAATTTTGTGTAAGACCAAGTATAAAGGGATTCTAATCATGGCTGGGCCCTTCGCATACCTTGATGGTCAATGACAGGTGGGGCCTCATCTGCCAGGCAAGCTGTGACAGGACAAGAGGACAGTGCCTCAAGCTGGACAAGGGGAGGTTCAGGTTGGACATCAGGAGGAATTTTTTCACCACCAGAGTTGTTAAACATTGGAATGAGCTGCCTAGAGAGGTGATGGAGTCACCGTCCCTGGAGGTGTTCAAGAAACAACGGGACGTGGCACCCAGTGCCGTGGCCTAGCTGAGATGGTGGTGGTCAGTCAAAAGTTGGCCTTGGAGGTCTTTTCCAACCTAAATGATTCTGTGATCGTATTACTGTGTTTATTAGGTCATTCAAGGTGAGGAAAGACAAGCACAAAGGGAAACATGATGCACACATCTTTTCTTGTTGACTTTTACTTTCTGTAGCTCTAAGCAGAAAAAATATTTTAGGAGAAAGAAAAATAACAGCTCTTAAAGTACTGTCTGGAATTCTTGAAGTTTAAGAAAGAGCTGTACTGCTGATTTGGGTCCTCTGCCTTTTACTTGAGACGTTATTTCTAATGAGACCATTCTTACTATGCACCTGTCCGTGAAGCTGTAGATTTGAGCTGCAATCCACAGGTGGAGGTTTATTTTCAGATCTGCATCTAGAGCTGTCCTGCTGCGGCTCCAAAGGGTTGTGCCGAGTCCCGTCAGTGCGATGCCTCGGTCGGCTGCTGGCCGTGCGCACTGTAACCACGGTGCAGGCCCAGGGAAACCCGCCGTGTTTGCTGCACACAGACCGCGGTTTCAACTCTGTAATTAACAGGCGTGAGAAATTCATCACCTAGTAATGCCTTTACTAACGGTGCTCCAAGAGGGACCATATTAACTCGTTCTGCTGCTTGAAAGATTGTTTGGGTGCGGCGGCGCCGCACGGCCGAGTAATTCTCTCCTGTCCCGACGGCCCCGGACAGCAACGAGCCCTCGGCCCGCGTCACAGACCCGTCAGGGCCGGAAGGGGCCTGCGGGGCCCCGCTGGCCCAGCGGGCGCTCCCTACGCACACGCTTATATAAGCGCCCCGCCCGTTTCCCGCGGATGGGGCTGCGCGCGCTCGGACCGGGGGGCGCGGCGCGGGCCGCGATACATAACAGGCTCGGGGGCGCGCGCGCGCCTGCGCCTCCCGGCGGAAGCGGCGCCGCCAAGAGCCGCCTCGCGGCCCCGTGCTCATCCGGGTCCCGCCGCGCCGAGCCGAGCCGCGGAGGGGGGTGGCGAAGAGCCGGGCCCCGCCCCCCGCCGGCCCGCCCCGCCGCGGCCTGCCGGCCCCACGCTGCCCCTGCGGGTGGGATTCCCGCCGGGGTCGCGGCTGCCCCGGACGCTTCCCTCTCGGCCACGGGCACGCGAGTGCCAAGCCAGGACTCCCTTTCCCCGCGCGCCGCCGGTAGCGAACACACCTCAGAAACGTGAGGGCCCGCGGTCACGTGGGAGCGGCGCCGGCCAATGGGCGGCGGGGGGCGGGGCGGAGTGGCCGGCGCAGCCCCGCGCAGTCACAGGGCGAGCGGCGAGGAGGCGGCAGCAGCACGGACGGCGTTTTCCGCGGGCAGGGCGCCGGCACCGCCTCGCAGCCACCGCCGCTCCCACCTTTCGTCCTTGCTCTCCCCGGCGCGGGGGCTCCGCGGGGTGATGCGTCCCCGCCGGGCGGCCGCTCCCGCCGTGTCCGCCGGGTCCTAGAGCCGTCCGCAGCGAGGCCCCGCGGGCCGCCCCGCCGCCCGTCCGTGCTCGCCCGGCGGCGCCGGGCCATGAACGGCCCCGCGGGCGGCGGCGGTTCCCGCTAAGCGTCCGCACCCGGCATGGGGGTGAACGCCGTACACTGGTTCCGCAAGGGGCTGCGGCTCCACGACAACCCGGCGCTGCGGGAATGCATCCAGGGCGCCGACACGGTGCGCTGCGTCTACATCCTGGACCCCTGGTTCGCCGGCTCCTCCAACGTGGGCATCAACAGGTGGCGGTGAGTGCGGGGCGCTGCGGGGGCCCTAATCCCCACGTTATGTATTCGGTCACGCCGCCTCCCCCCCATCCCCTCCCCTCCGCGCCCGATTGGGCCGCCGCCAGCGCCGGCTTGCCTCGGCTGCTCGCCCTCCCCGCGGGCCGGCGGTGTTACATAGCCAGCCCAGCGCCGGCCCGGGCTGCGGCTCCCGTGGCGCACGTGGGAGGGACGGGGGGAAGGAACTGGGAAGCCCGTGGCAGAGTGCGGACCGGCGGGCTGTGCCTTCCCGGTGAGGGGCCCGCTTATTCTCGCTCCCGAGGGCGGCGGTTCAGTGCCCGAGCGCTGGAGCTCAGAGCGGGGTTGCTGCGGGGCGGAAAACCCTGCGTGGGGCAGTCTGGAGGGCTTGCACCGTCCCGGGAACTCTGGGCAGCCGGGGACCCCGGGGCGCCTCCGTCCTGGAGAAACTGAAGCTGCTCGCTTAGCTCAGAAGTACTTTTCCAGAGTAGCGTTCCTGCACAGAAGCGTGTCACAAAATACCCTGAGTTGGAAGTGACCCACGAGGATCCTGAAGTCCAATCCCTGCATAGAACAACCCCAAGAAACCCACTGTGTGCCTGAGAGCGTTGTCTAAATTTTTCTTGAACTCTGGCTGGCTCGGTGTGCAGTGTCCCTTTCGGGAAAGTGCAGATTTGTTCCTGCACCGTCGAACCAGTTGTATTTCTCCTACCCAATATAAAAATGAACTTTACTGTGCATTTGTGACTGACACTTGCATGCTAAATGTGTGCCATAAGGCAGTGGTTAATAGGACTTCTGTGCATGCTTGTCATGTGAGATTAGTTAAAACATCACTAGGAATCTGAAAATTGTAACCCTTGTAAAATGGTTGATAATGCAGTAAAGTTTATGTATCATCTGTCCCTCCAACGTCAGGAACTTGAAATGCTAGTGAACTTAGTCTGCCCAGACTACAGTGCTGAGAAGTTGCCTAATTATGGAACATGCACAATGAAACTTATCTGAACAGTGCATCATAGAAGAATGACAAAGTTTAGAAACTTCAGGTTTTAATTGTGTTTACTTGAATGATTGTTCCTTTCAGATTTAATAATTTGTGTCCTAGCTTATACTTTACCAACCAGGTAACTTACCTTTGGAGGTTTTCAGTTTCTATTTTTTTTTTTCAGATTTTGAGAGGTTTTCCTTACAATATTCTTGTTTTCAAGAGATATAAATACTAAAGATGCTTTTTGTAAACTTTAACTTGATGGTTATTTCATTTTCACGGACAAAAGTAACTTATTGAAGTTCATGATGTACATTTATTTTATAAGGAACTTTTGAATTTCTTTTGTTTTGGAGGGATAAATTTTTTAATAACATTTTTACTTACTGAAGAAGCTCAGAGGTCTTAATTTTGTGGTTGAAACATGAACAGCTACTTAAGTTTTAAAAGAATGTGGATAACTGGCACAAGTCTAAGTGTTAAGGAAATCACATGTTTTAAGAATACTTCATGGGTCTCAAATGTGCCCTGCAATTGAAATGCTGAACAGTTTTTGGTTGTATTCTCTGAGCTAGCAAATGACAAATGTGAACTTTGATTCTAGCAGAAGGAAGTTCATGTCTTCAGTGCTATTGCCCTGGTTCTTCAATGACTGTGTAATATGATCATTAGCTAATAGAGTCCTTGAGTACATATGTGTGTGATGTATTGCTGGTTGGTGTACTTAAACAGAGTTTAGAAGGCACCTAGTCCTTCCACTGCATTTTGCATTTGAAGAAAAATGCCTGGGTTTAGTTGCTGGTTAAAGGGATTGAGTTTGGGGTGGATTACAGCTCCCCTGTCCAAAGCACTTCAAGCAATCTTCTGGTACTCAAATACCGTCAAGGCACATGCTGCACATGGATTTGAGTATCAAATCTTGCTGCCTGCATAGCCTGCTTTTGTGTAATCATCAGTTTTTTTTTCAAGTTTAAAAGTACAATAGCTTTATAAAATAACTGGCTGCTAAAGCTGTATGTTTATTAAGGTTCTTCTCAATAAATTTTATTTAAATGGGTAGTTACTAGTTTGGTATGAATCCACTTTAGGTTCCAGTGGTTTTAATGAGATGTTTTTATTCAGTGCAGACACATATATTCCCAGTAGGTATACACAAGGGCTATGATGCAGTTTTTTAATTTGCCAATCTCATTTGGCATTTATTAATGAAAAAACAGTTTTCGTTCATTTTCAGTTGATGACCATGATCAAAATTGTTTCTTACATGCCTGTTGAGTAGGGTGTTGTAGTCAGAAACATTTTATTTGAGACTAGGAGCAGAAGCCCTTCAGCATTAGGAAGGTGAGTCAGATTTAACCTCCTGGTGTGAATTTACGGTGGTCTTTTCTTAATTTGAGTTGATTGACACCGAGTGTTTATTGTCCTAGTGCCCTGGGCAAAACTCTTCTCTGTCAAACTATGACTCACACAATCTACATGAGGAAGAATGGTGAAAAAATACAAGAAACCAGGAGGTTTAGTTTCTTGTTAGAATATTGTCATTCTGCAGGGTCACCAGTTACAGTTTATATTAACAAACGTGTGTTAAATCTGGTAAATAGCAACCTTTAAAACATAGGTGCTTTCTAATTAACTTTTCTGTTTAAACAGTCATGTAACAATCAGGGACTAATATTTTTGTGTAATTGCACTATTGAGCAAGTCTAATTACTAAGCAGTCACATGGTCTTACTGACCTCCTTTCTCCTGGCATTCAGCCTACCTGTTCTAAATTCGTGAATGCTACGTAACAAATGCCAGGACCTCCCTCAGCTTGCTTCTTTTTTTTTCTGGATCTGTTCTGTTTCTTCTTATTGTTCCTTTTTTTCAAGCTGTCAAATAAATCGAGATGTGCTTTCATTGAAACATGCTTTTTCTATGGGATGAGTTCACAGTGTTGTTTACAGATCAACACTTGAGAGAAAGAAGTTACTTGGTGCAGTAAAAGGTGATGTAGAAATGGTGGAGGGAGATGCCAAATGTTAAAACAACACTAAGGCTCTCTTAAAGTTTTGTCAGTTGCCCTTAAATGTTGGGCGCCAGAATTAGCTTGCCTCTGATTGTGTCAACAAAGCAGGCAAAGAATGTATCTTGCATACTCCAACAAGTAACCATTACCTACTTCTGAAAAAATGTGTTCCCATGTGCTCACAGACTTTTCCATATTAAGGAGAATGGGATCTCATGGTTAACAACATCACCTGGGGGAGAGCTTCATTTAGCCCTGGTTTTAGTACAGTGACAATTGATCACAATGCCTGTAAAGAAATGCAAACATTGTTAGTTGCTGCATAAGGATTTACTCTAGGTAATAATTTACCTCTTCTGGTTTGTCTTTTTGGGTATGTATGTCTGTCTTTGATATGCTGGTTAAAATTCTTCTTTTTTTTTAACCATTCCTGAACAGATTTTACTTTTAAAATAACAGTAATTGAATTTGCTTTGTATATCTCTTAAATTTTGTGAGAGTATTGATGTTTTCAACATCTTTCAAAGTTAGCTGCCGCTATTACGGCAGATACTGGTATTGACTTCAGAGAGAGAAGAGAGGTGGGGGTTTTTTTCACACTCAAATTTCAAGTAAATAAAAAAACTGGAGAAAAAAGTTTCATTTTCAGGACAATCACTGCAATTCATGGAAGTGGGAACTTGTTTAAAAAATAATGCTTAGACATCTTTCTGTAGTATCTATTAAATTTTGCTATTCTGTGCATCTGGTTTTGAAAATATACTTTAAGTTTTTGCTTACATAGTTATGATTTGTCCAATAGAGATATGTTTGTTGAATGGGGGATTGGTGGAAAAGGTTTGTCAATAGAATTAATCTATGAGTGATTTGAATTTCATATGTGTAATTCAGGCAGGCAAAATTTGTGTATTATTCTTCATTATTTTTTGGTGACATGCTTAATATATAAAAAGGAATGCACAGAAATATTTGACTTCCCTGATGAAAACATCCCTTTAAGTTTGTTTTTATTGTGTAGCACTTAGAATGAAAATCTACTTGATTTATAAAATATATAACATGAAGCCCACCAAAGGCAGTCTGCCATTCCCTTCAATTAGACAGGGAGTAGGAAATACAACAAAAAGCTTGTGAGTCAAGATGAGGACAGGGAGAGATCACTCAGCCATTACCATTGTGAGGAAAAATAATTAATTTATTACCAGCCAAATCAGAATAGGGTAACTGAAAATAAACTTAAATTCTTAAAGCGCCTTCTTCCCGCCCCTCACTTCTTTCTGGGCTTCACTGCCATTTTCTCAACCTCCTATCTCCAAAGAACACAGAGGGATGAGGAATGGAGGTTTTGGTCAGTTCATCTAATGTTGTCTCTGCTGCTTTTTCCTCAGGGGAAGGATTCTTCACACTCATATTTTCTCCACCAGGGTCCTTCATGGGCTGTGGGTGGACAGCCTTCCTCTCAGTGGTCATCACCACAGGCTGCAGGGGAACCTCTGCTCTGGTGCCTGGAGCATGTCCTCCTCCTCCTTCTTCCTGACTTAGGAGTTTGCAGAGTTGTTTCTCTCTCATATTCTCATGCCTCTCCAGCTTCAGTGGCTCCTGAGCAGTAATGTTTTCCTCCTGTCAGATATGTTATCCCAGAGGTGCTAC